ATGCTGAGGATACAAAGAAAGGCAAAAGACAGCTTCTACAATCAAGAAGTTCAAAATCTAAGAGGGAGAAGACAACACATAAAAGGAAGATGAAAAGGAGGGTGGCGGGAGAGGATATCCAGCAAGAGAGCATGATGAAGTCCAGACTAGTGCAGCCAGGAGGGAAATGAAGAGACGGTTGGCCTGGATACCCTCCTTGAATAGAGGGTCTAGGAAGATCTCTCTTCTTTCAACCTAACACCCTCTCCAATCAGAAGGAGGGAGGGGCTCTGGAGGCAGGGAGAGCTGATGAAGTGTGAGTTCCAGGGTTGATGTAATCTTATAGGATGATGAAGTTCCTGGGGGATGATGAAGTCCAGAGGTGTGCAGCAGGGTGAGAAATGTATCCTTAGTGCTTTGTATATAGTAAATGCTTAATAAACACTTAATAAATGCTTCATTCATTCATTGATCCTTTTTGGGGGTGGGGGGATGGGGTGGGGAGCCGATGGAATTAGATTAGATTGTTCATTTCTTGTAGTCAGGGACTGTCTTTTGCCATTCTTTGTATCCCCAGCACTTAGCATAGTGGCTGGAACATAATGGGTGCTCAACAAATGCTTATTGACTGATAGACTAAATAGAGAGAGAAGTTCAGATTTATGATTTTATGGGTCTGAGGAAATCCAAGTGTGGAAATTCACTCATCCATTGAAGACTGGCAATTTATATATAACTTATAAAAACAGAGTGCCATAGTAAAGGAATACTAGAGTCAGAACCAGAAAACCAGGATTCAAATCCCAGCTTTACAATTTACTGCTTCTTTAATTTGGCAAAAAGTTGAGTTTACTCATGTGTTAAATGGAGGGGTTATATTGGATGTTTATGTTTATTTAAAGCTGTAAAAATACTATAATACTAAGACTATGAGGGTGAAGAATACACCCAACTTCTAGTTCAGCCTATCGATAAATCACAATGGTTTTTTTTTAAGTGTAGACCTGTGATATTAAGCATGAGGAAACAGTTTCCACACATGCAGATATGCTATCTGTAGATTACAGTCCTAGAGAAATACCTGTACCACAAAGTGCTCATGGTCACATAATCAATCAATTAAACATTTGTTCAGCAATAAAAATCAATCAACAAGAACTTACTAAACCTTATAAGCCAGAGATTGTGCTGGGCACTGGGGACAGAAAGGCTAAAATGAAACAGTTCTTGCTTTCAAAGACCTTACATTCCATCGAGGGACATTACATGGTGGTAATTAAATATAAGATATATACCAAACAAATAGAGTAATGGGCAGGGGAGGGGAGGAAATGAAGAACTGAGCCAATCAGGAAAGTCATTTTAAAGGAAATGGTGCTTAACTTCAGCTCCAAAGAAGTGAGAGGTTCTCAGAGGCACTCAGAGGCAGCAATGAAGGCATGATGGGAAGACAGAATGCTGTGTCCATGGAACAGCAATGAGGCCAGTCAGGATACAGAATGAGGATGAAGGAAATGAGGTTTGAGACAGGTTGTGAAGGGCTTTAAATTCCAAACAGAAGCATTTACATTTAATCCTAGAGATCACAAGAAACCACTGAAGCTTTTTTTTTTTTTTTTGGTGAGGCAATAGGGGTTAAGTGACCTGCCCAGGGTCACACAGCTAGTAGATGTCAAGTGTCTGAGGCCGCATTTGAACTCAGGTCCTCCTGACTCCAGGGCTGATACTCTATTCACTGCACCATCTAGCTGCCCCACCATTGAAGCTTCTTGTGCAGGTCAGTGACTTGAGGAACATCGATTTGGTATCTGTGTGTAGGACAGATGGAGAGGTCACTGTAACAGTCCAGACAAAATGTCATAAGGGCCTAAACTAAGGTGACTATGGTATGAGTGGAGGGAAGAGGGTGGAGAAAACATAGCTAGACTATGTCAGAAGCAAGACTTGATGCTAGTTATTCCTGATTCTAAAGCTGGCTCTCTCCACATTATCTCTTGACCCTTCTATCTTTTATTTTTAGTAGAGGGGCCACTAAGCCATACATAAGGATGTCTGTGGGCCACATATTGATTTAGAAAACTACATGTTTGTATTATCTATGTTCTACTACGTTTTTATTTATTTTGTTACATATTTCCCAATTACATTTTAATCTGGTTTAAACTCTATTTGAGAGTATTGCCAGCTGCAATGTGCTTGATATCTCTGCTCTAGGAAACTCCTTAAACCTATCAGTTAGAAAAAAGGTGCTGACCTACATTGGTGGACTTGGAATTTTCTATACTAATGAAATCACAGGTCCACTCCCCATAAAACAGATGAACCATTACATTAAGAAAGAATACAATACAATTCAGATCTTCCTAACATATGAAACTAGAACGAATAGCTTTGATAACTTAAATTATCTTTATCTTAAATTATCACTCCCATGTTAAAAGGATTATTCCATTAGAAATTATTTTCTTAGTAACATATACTATTGTTTTCCTCTGGATAATTTTAATACTGTTTTACACTTTTCTATGTCAACAAAAATGTAAAGTGATTCTAATACATTATATCACAGTTGTCCTATAAGGTAGGTAAGCATATATAGTTAGATAGGAAAGCAATATGAGGCACATACCCAAGAAAAAGAATATTAAACTAATTCCGATACTTTTATAAGGATATTTACCTACATGTGCTGATGTAGGAAAAATCTATAGAAAGCAGAGACAGTTTTGGTACATGTCTTTTTTTTTTTTTTTGCAACTGGGGTTAAGTGACTTGCCCAGGGTCACACAGTTAATAAGTGTCAAGTGTTTGGTCTGAGGCTGGATTTGAACTCAGGTCCTTCTGACTTCAGGGCTGGTGCTCTATCCACTGCACCACCTAGCTGCCCTTATGATGAACATTCTCACACCTGGTCATACCCTATCCGTTGTGCCACCCAGCTGCCCCAGCACATGTCTCGAAACATGTACAGAGCTACATTTAAACAGGCAAACTGACTGTTTAGAAAAATGATGAAATGATAACCAGATTTATTTCTTCAAATACTTATGTAAAATTCTGTATGACTGAATTTTCTATAACTATAAATATAACCTAGGGTCAACAATAACTTCAAAATTATAATGGGAGTAGGGATAAAAGGAGTTAATGAATCCACTGATAATTAAAACTCATCTGAGCCATTATTCTCTGTTAGCCTGATTTAAATTTGCCCTTTCATTTTTCCCAATATCCTACTGGTGAGCAGTTAGCAAGGAATAAAATGGCCAAAATATTAGGAGTAAAAATGAAATTAACACTTATGAGAGTTTGAAGACATTAAGGTACTCATTTTGTATCTAAGTAGGCACAAGAATTAGAAGTCTGTTTTGTAACAAGCATAAAAACAGAAAAAAAATAATTTTAAATGATTAGAGGAGAAAGAAAAAAAGTAAAGTATTAAAAAAGAACTGGCTGACTTACTTCTGATGTCACAATTCTACTTTGGAACAATGATTTGTTCATCGAATATCAGCAAAAAAGAGAAGTAATTTTGAACTGAACAAGAATGAAGAAAGGAAAAAGAGAGAACTTCTTTTGATGTCATAATCCTTCTACTCAACAATGAGATTAAAAATAAAATTCTAATTAATAACTTCAAAGAAGCTAAAGTGAAAAAAGAAGAAAGAGATGGAAAAGAGTTTCAGGGGGTAAAAGGAAAGGAAGTGGAGGGATAAGAAGGAAGGTAGAATTGTAAAAGTCAGCAGAGAACTAGAGTACTAAGAATAATTATTTCAGAGAAAAAGACTCCTCAGCAATTTAGCTGCACCAAACTTAGGGCAATCTCACAATGTTGTTGTGAGGCTCAAGTTAGATAATGTATGTAAAGCACTCTAAAACCTGAAACAGTATGTAAATTCCACTCATTAATATTGTAGATCAACAAATATCTGACTGACTTCAGAAAATGTCAGCTCTTTGACAGCAGGAATTTTTCATATTTGGTCTATGTATCCCAAGTACCTAATACAGCACCTGGCATATTATTGCATACATACATACTGAATGAATGAATATCAGAGAAAAGGAACTGTTCTGTAGTATTTTCTTAGGGAGGCTCAGGGAGTAATAAAAGAGCATTTTCAGATAACTAAATATTTAATTTGATTATTCAACAATTGCTTTCAGAAATATATACATAATACATATGCATAAACACACACATATATTTCTGGCACTCAATATTTGAACCATTCTACTGAAAACAAAAGAGAAAGAAATTGTGATTCATATTAAGATTGTTAACAAATTTCTTTTTCAAATTAGTTCCTTTGACAAAATATTAACAAATGCTATTTTCTCCCCAAGGAAGTCATTAACAAAATGGCTTTACATATACCAAAATATTTATAAGCTGAGCACTCTTTGTGACAGCAAACCAGAAAACAAAGTAGATGCCCATTGATTAGGGAATGTCTAAACAAATTATGGCACATGAATGTAACAGAATATTAATGTGTCATGAGAAATAATAAACATATTGAATTCACAGAAGCATGGAAAGACTTATATGAGCTAATACAAAGTGAAGTAAGCACATCCAGAAAAATACTATAAATGACGTAGTACTACAAAAATTATTACATCAGTGGAAAGAATAACAACCACAGAACAAGTGATAGTGAATGTTGCAAGATAAAGATCAAATTTGGCCCCAAAGAAGAGATATGAAAATACAGCTCCCCAAACTTTGATAAAAGAGGGGGAAGGGAAGGCAATTCCATGGGTATGTAACACTACACATGACATAAGCTTTTTCAGTGTGCTAGTTGGTTCTTCTGGTTTTTTTTTTTCCCTTTTTCCTCTTTTTTTTTTGTTTATTATTAGAGATTGCTCTCGGGAAGAAGCGATAGGGACAGATGCAGTGTGAAACGTAGGAAATATAATAACAAAAGATATTAATAGAGATCTATTTTAATGACAATTTCTTTCTATGGTAATTTTTTGGTTTCTCTCTATCTTCAGTAGATATTTTCACTTACCATTTCTATGTTCTCATTAGCTACATGAAGTTGTTGTGTCAGTTGCTTAAAGTTAGTCAGCTGATCCTAAAATAGAAATGTAAATCACACTAAATGTCTGATTACTGACCAAAACAAGTTTAACATTCACATAAAAGCTAAAAGAATGCAAAACAAGCAAATACTATGTTAAAGGCTCAAATTTTCTCCCCTTACTTCTTCACACATTAAATACTATTAAGATACTGTAGCAGATGGGTCGAAGAAGCTAAAAACAAAGAACCATTTTAATAGACTAAAGGACCAATGTAAATAAAAACTAATGTATTTAAGTTTTAGGGCCCATAAATAGTAACCTACATCTTTGTAGAAATTTATCTATTTGCAGATAGATGTGTGAAATGTATCCTGCTTGAAAACTTGGGGAAAAAATTTATTTTCAATAATTTTCAAAAATTTAATTATTAATAGCAATATTGTTTTAAGAATGACTTTGAGTAAGTTATTTTGACTATTGTAAATACACAAATTAACTATAAATGACATATGAAGAAAAATGCTATCTGCATACAGAGAAAGAACTGAAAAACAGAAGTAGGTATAAAATAATTTTACACATATACATACATATTATACACACACACACACACACACACACACATATACACACACCTATTGGTGTCTAATGGTAGCCATGTCTAGAGTGGGGACAGAAGGAAGAGAGGAAAAAGAGAAGAAATTTACATGATAATTTTGTTTTATATTTGAAAGAAATAGCAAGTTGTGCATGGCAGATTTGCACTTTCATGTACAATCATCTTTTTTATTGTACTATGTTATGGAAATGCTTGTTTTATTCCACAAATGTATATTAATATAATAAAAAAGGGAAAAAAATTTACAGCAAGTTTCTCTGATAGAGGCCTCATCTCTCAAACATACAGAACTCAGTCAAATTTATAAGAATACAAGTCATTCCCCAATTGATAAATGGTCAAAAGATATGAACAGACAGTTTTCAAATGAAGAAATCAAAGCTATTTATAATCATATTGAAAACTAAATCACTATTGATTGGAGAAATATAAATTAAAATAACTCTGAGGTACCACTTCACACCTATCAGAATGGCTAATAAGATAGAAATGGAAAATGACAAATGTTGGAGGGGAATGTGGGAAAACTGGGACACTAATGTACTGTTGGTGGAGTTGTGAACTGATTCAACCATTCTGGAGAGCAATTTGGAACTATGTCCAAAGGGCTATAAAACTGCATATCCTTTGATGCAGCAATACCACCTCTAGGACAGTATCCCAAAGAGATCAAAGAAAAAGAAAATGAAAAAAGGACTCAGAATGTACAAAAATATTTACAGCATCTCTTTCTCTGGTAACGAAGAATTGGAAATTGAAGAGATACCCATCAATTGCAGAATGGCTGAACAAGTTTTGGTATATTTTTGTGATGGAATAGTATTGTCCTATAAGAAATAATAAGGGAGGGCAGCTAGATGGCACAGTGGATAGAGCACCGGCCCTGCAGCCAGAAGGACCCGAGTTCAAATCTGGCCTCAGACACAAAGTATTTCCTAGCTGTGTGACTGTGGGCAAGTCACTTAACCCCAACTGCCTCACTAAAAAAAAACAAAAACAAAAACGAAAACAAACAAACAAAAGAAATAATAAGGGAGACAGTTTCATAAAAACCAGGAAGGACTTACATGAACTGATGCAAAGTGAAGTGAGCAGAACCAGGAGAATATTGCAGTAATGGAAATATTATACAATTATCAACTGTGAGTTACTTAGCTATTCTCAGCAATACAGTGATCCAAGACAATTCATAAGGATCTATGATGAAAAATGCTATACATTTCCATAGAAAGAACTGATAGGATCTGAAGGCAGATAGAAACATACTGGGTTTTTTTTTTACTTTCTTTTTTCTTTTTTTTTTGTCTGTGTTTTCTTTTACAACTTGACTGATATGGAAATGTTTTGCATTATTGCACACATATAACTTTTATCAAATTGTTTGCCTTCTCAAGGAGGGGAGGGGGAAGGAAGATAGGAAAGAAAGTATTATTCAAACTTGTAAGAAATGAAGGTCAAAAATTGTTTTTACATGTAATTGGAAAAAACATAATATTAAAACAAAACCCGACAAACAAACAAAAAAAGAAATGTATCCTGACCAAGACTGGACAACCTGTTCTAGAGACTATCAAAATTGTTATCGTTATTATCTCTGACTTCAGTTAAAAAAAAATTAAGAACTCTCCACCCAGATGAAAAAAACACTTTTCAGGGGGATTAATGCTTAAATGCTTCACAATTTTAAAACAAGTTAATTATTTTTGTTTTTCATTTGGTCCTATCTTACTCTTTATTTGTTAACAATGAGAATGAACATATCAGAAACATTCTGTCAGATTTTCAAATGACAGTGCTAAAAGAGATGATATCCTAGATGACAATTCAGAATAAAAAAAATCTTGACAAGCTACAATAGCTTGTCAAACTAAGATTAAATGTAACAATAATGATGATGACTAATGATGATCAATAACATTTATATAGCACTTTAAGGTTTACAAAACACTTTACAAATATCTCATTATTTAATATTTGTTTAATAACAGCCCTGGGAGTTAGGTGCTATTATTATCCCCATCTTACAGATAAGGAAACTGAGGCAGGCAGAGATGAAGTGATTTGCCCAGGGTCACAACATAGCCAGGTGTCTGAGGCAGGATTTGAACTGAGGTTTTTTCTGACTCCAGGTCCACCACCACCAATGTAAAATATTATGCTTAAAATTTAAGACCTCATCTGGAAAAATAGCAGGGTAAAGTTCCTTTCATCATTAGGGATAAACAGGAGGTGTGAATCTGTTAACATTCCATTCTCCAGGGTTCTATAATAATGAAGTGTGACACTGGTAAAAATGCTTCCTTTCCAAACATTAGGCAACTGGAGGAGGAAGTGGTAGTAATTGAGACTTTAGGCTAGAGGTCTGGGATCCCCAGGGGCGGAACTGAACTCACATGTAGTACTAGTTTTACAGCAACATTCCAACATAGGGAGGAGGAGGAGGAAATAAAGCATAGACAGAAGATATTATGTACACAGAATATTCAGACACATGCACTGAAAAACATTGTGTGGGGGTTGAAACCTGAGTTATGCTTTGAAGGAATCAAGCATAAGTGAGGAAAAAATGTATTCTAGCCATGGAGGGCTCATCAGTGCAAAGGAACAGAAAATGGAATACGATGTAGAGGAATAGTTAGGAAGCCAGACAGTAGAGCGTTTTAAATACCATGCTGAATAGTTTGTATTTTAGTCTAGAAGGAATAGGGATCTACTGAAAATAGTCAGATCTGTGTTTCAGTATTATCAATGTGGAACACTGTATAGAAGATGGATTAGAGAAGAGGGAGGCTAGATGCAAGGAAATCTATGAGGAGATTACAACAATAGTATAGGTAGGACATGGTAAGGGCCAGAACTAGGAGCTATGTGAATGAAGAGAAAGGAACAGATGTGAGAGACATTGTAAAGATAGAATTGAGAAGACTTGGCAATTTACTGTATATACGTGAAAAGGAAAGAAGAAGAGGCAAGACCCTAAGTTATGACCTTAGGTACCTAGAAGCATAGAGGTAACTTTAACATGAACAGGAGAGTTTGGAAGACATATAACTTTAAAGAGAGGAACAGATGTTTAATTTTAATTAGTCATTTTTTCCAAAATTAAAACTGAAAATACAACTACTTTCTGATATCATAAGGACAAAAATGAAAATTACCTTCTGTTTTTGTCTTTCAAGTACATAAATTTGGGTATCAGTCATATGATCTTGATAGAGTTTCTGTAGTCTGTCTAACTCCTGTGAAACTGTCTGCCAGAGTTCCACAGCCTGGTTTTTCTCCTATTAAAAAAAAAGGTATTACTATTTTAATTATATTAACTGGTCATAGGACAGTACAGATGAAGCCTTCTGCATGACAGCATTTTCTTTAAAATAAGAATAAATAAAACTTCTAAATCTCTTAATTGTAAAAGGTTTTAGTATTTTATTGGATAATATCATTAATCCACTGAACTACAGAATTATGAAATATATTGAACTAAGATCCCCACAGCTGAAATTATCATTCTTCAATGAAACCAGGCATAGTTTTAGGCCAGTAGCTATCCTCCTCAAATATGTAAAATATTAAAATATTAAAAAGTACTATAAGAGGAGTGTCTGCTTAGTCTTTTCAAATCTCAACTTATAAGTTGCCACTTTGGCACCCAAATCCTGCCTCCAAGAGAATGCTGAAATAATACTCTCTGTTTTGTTATAACATAAGACACTATAAAAATGTGATGAACATTTTACATGGGGTGTGGCAGGGAAAACCCCTCTAGGACAGACTCAGCAGCCTAGTAGCTCCTTTAAATAGCTCTTCAAGGAAGTTAAAATATTAGCATTTACTTTAAAATGAGCAAAAAGGTGAGGAGAAATGTAAGTTTCTATTATCTAAGCCCCAAAATTGAAAATGGTGAATTATGGAAAAGATAGTTCTGTAAAAAGTAAACATGACCACTCCTCTTGCAATCATAAAATAGAATATGTATAATGCTGAAAAAAAAAAAGTAGGTTGTACGCTCCCTAAGTAGAGAGAAGGGGGGTGGAAAGGAAGGAGAGAGAGGCAGTGACACAGAGACAGAATCAGAGCAGACAGACAGATAGGAGAAGGAAAGAAGGAAAAGAGGAAAGGAAGAAGGAAGAAAGAGGGAGGGAGGGATGTTGAGGGGGAAAAGGAAAGATCAGGAAGAAGGGAAAAGGAAATAAAAGTAGATAGCTATAGTTTCTTTTAAATTTTCAGTCAAAAAAAGTGTCCCATTTAGCAGTCATTACAATATGGTGCATATTTTTTAAGAGCTTCCTTTGGAAGAGTCCCACAAACCCCATATTATTTGTTTATTTCTGTTCTATTAGCCCAGTAACAAGATTCAAGTGGAGCACGTGTGGTGTAAAAAGCATATTAAATTAAGTGTTGCCTTTTAACCACTGGACTGTAAAGGGAAAAAACAGACACAGGAGAGTCAGTGCTTGGTATTCAGTTTAAGTTATCTATCTTGTTCTTTGAATTCATAAAATTTGAGAAATAGAATGGGAATTTTAGTCTAAGAAAGTTTATTTCCACAAAAAAAGATATTTGTTTTGTAAATAAAAAAGGAGGGAACTGCTATATTGAACTGCAACTTTAAAAAAAAGTACATTTTGCCAACTAAAGTAATAGTAATGGCATTTCTCAGTACAGTCTATGGATAGATTGTACCTAGGAAAGAATGTACTTGGAGTGGGGGTGGGGCACTGGAACTTATGCACATAATTACAGAAAAAACTGTTACAATTACAGGGAATGGCAAAAAAGATCCTTCAGGCACCCAGCATAGTTACAAATGAATAGACACACAAAAAGGATCTTCATAAGATCTTTGTACACATGAACAAAATATTCAAAAGTTAGTATTAAGTAAATGTAGATGATGAACTATAGAAAATCAAGTTCCTAATAGTTTGAACATAATCCTGTACCTGCAGTCACAAAGCAGATACATGTAATACTGAACAAACCATAGTAAATTGTGAGGAGGAGGAGGAAGAGGGGGAGGAGGAGGATGGGGAGGAGGAGGATGGAGAGAAGGAGGAGGAGGAGGAGGGGGAGAGAGAGAGATTGATTGAAATTCTCTTTTTGATTTAAGTCTGTAATAAAATCTTAATCTATCCATCAGCCTACTTTTATATTCTACAAGAATTGAATACTCAAAGCTTAGATTCTCGTTCATTATGTCATTTCTCTACAATACTTTTCTGACCTGTTCTCTTTATCAACACTGTTTTACTGTTAATGAAGAATGAAGTTTTACAGGTGCAGAAAAGACTCTTGCAAACATTCCTACAAACCAAGGTTTTCTTTTTTGTTAATGTGGATTACTCACTTCAAAACAAATTTCAAAACTCAAATTATAGGAATGTAGGCTTTAAAACTATTATAATAAGGCTATACAACTTACTGTATAGTGTTAGTGGTCTAGAAACCTCCAATATTCTAATATTTTGTAATGTAATTCAGGCAATTTGAATCATAGAATCTAAAGTGTTTGTATTTTGCCCCGTGCACAAGTCGATCAAAAAGAAATGTTACTTGGTACATTACTTTGAGAATCAAATTATATAGTTTCCTTAAATTTTCTTATGATCTCAGGTGAAGAAAATACCAAGGCTATCACCTGAATATCTGAGTATGTTCATTTCTTTCCATGAATTTTAAATATTAAGTCTTTCTAAATGTTTATCCAAGCAAGATTTGTCAATTAGACTTTTTTTAATGAAATGAGAATAAATACTGACTACAAATTATACATTTTTTAAAAATTCAGAGATGTCTAAATACATGTTAAAAGTTTTAAAATATATCACTGTAAACTAAAATACATTTTGAAATTTCAACTTCCAAAGAATAGTTGTATGGGCTTTGAAGATTGTTTTTGTTGTTGTTGTTTTCAGGCAGGGTCAAAGAAATGGAACAGCATATTTACTGTTAGCTTACTTGATTAACTAGTTGTAACTGCTCTTGTAGGTTCTTGACCATTTCTTCATCTGTAAACACATCAGTGTCCAATAAAGTACCAAAGGGAAGGACCTCTAACTGCTTTTCGACAGCTTCTTTTAGTTCACCATGCAACCTTTAGCAAAATAAAAATACAGTAATAATGTATTATTATGTTTATATGTTTAATAACTGGAATTTTTATGTTTTAATAACTGGATAATTTTTATGTTTAATAACTGGAATTTTTTTAATGGTTTAAGGTCAATATTTTAAAATAGTAATAAACATTCAAGTACAAATGAAACAAGTAATTGAATAAAAAATAATTCTTCATACAAAATCATTTTGAAACATACTTCCAAACTGGAAGTTAAAAATAAGAGCATCATCCTCATCAAATATATGATATTACAATGAAAAGACAAGTCCATAATTTTACATGAATGAAATTGGATATAATTAATTTAAAATAAAGTTCAAACTATCATAAGGAAGCCAAAGCTTTTCACAGGAGGTAAGAGTTAGATGTTACATCTCACTTTGAGAGAGAAAAAAAATTTAAGAAATCTACAAAATAATTAAGAATGATTTTATATTGAAAATCAAAGGATAAAAGTAGTTTTATTCTTATTGAAATAGTCATTGTTTTCTATAATTCTTCAGATGCATTTCTCTTGCCTCTAGCTAGCCTCAACCAATACTATAGAATAAAATTAATGCTTGTAAAGACCATCTACCTACTTATATAAAGTTTTGCAAATAATTTAGCTTTAAAGGTAAATTCAAGACTAACAATTAAATTGAGCAAAAAAAAAAACCCTAAAATGTGAAATTTAGTTTATTCAATTAAATAGGAGGTTTCTGACATAATTACATAAAAGCTGGCACTCCAAACAAATATTTCATCTTTTCAAAGTAATTTTGAAGTAGAAAATGTTACTTTAAGCCAAGTACATCTAAGGTACCTATTTAAAATTTCCAAAATAAAACTAATCATTTCTCTTGAAATCAAAGAAATTTAGTCACCTCTTTAAAAAAAAAAAAGAAAACAAGAATTGATACCAAAACTCAATGAAAATACACAAAAACTAACATTACAAGAAATAATTATGGGAATATCTATTTGATTGTGTGATGCAACTGGCTATTTATTTAGGATCATAGAATTATACTCCCTAAGTAAGTATTTTTACAAATAAATATATTTTCTACTACCAAAAAATACTGGGGGGAGGGGAGTATTAACCTCAAAAAGGGGTTATTTGTAAAAATCTCTAAACAAGTTTCATTTAAATCTCAATAATTATCATTACATACTCAAGTTGAAAAATTTCAATTTCAAAATTTTAAGTAGGTAAAATAGAATGTTAGTTAAAGTAAAGAATAGCGTGTGAGATTATGAAAGCTTAATTATCAAACAGGTGTTATTTTGTATTTCTAATTGAGTGTGGCAAAAGAGTTTCAATTTCCATCAGATTATTGAATATTATTTTTCAAAATCATTTCTGATTTTCTTTTACTCTTCTTTGCAACATGAGCACAAAAATAAACATAGTTTTACCTCAATGAATAACCACTTTTCAAAATCTAACATGCAGAAAAAATACATTTTCATTTTCATAAATGGTCAGTTCTCATGCTAATGGAAAGAAAACCCAAAGAACAAATACTATAAAAATAAATTATATTTGAATTTGGATCATGTATATTTATTTTTGTACTTACATTTGAATTCACTTCAAACTAAGTAATGAAGCCTATGAAGACCTGACTCAGGAGGTGGAAGGAAGCTGTCCAGTATACCCATTCTGCAGCCCATCTCCCTTCCTCTGTCTAACAAGTCTGCCCTCTCTCAAACATGAAGCACCTCCTGAAGCAAGGAGATGGTTAAATGTGTAGGATAATAATTGCTCTCTTGACAATATGTAATGTACAATAAAAAAGAGGAAACTGGGATGTCAAAACAAAACTAAAAACCCTATAAATTAGAAGTCTGGGTATTGGTTATCACCAAAAAACATTGACTGTCCAGCAATATTTGACAGAATGTCCACAGTAATGAAAACTTTTCATATTTACTAAGTGTACAGTAAAGACTGACCATAAAAGTCCCTTGGGAAATAAGTAATTTAGAATAGCTATGGGCTTATCTCTTTCAAGTGTACTTTTAAAAATTTTTTTCAATATTTCATTTGGAAATCTTTTGAAAATGAATTACACATTTCCTGATTTCTTAAACTACAAAAACACAGATAATTAAATAGCTTTTAAAATAAAATTCATTAGATAAATTATTACTGATACATATTATTGATATAAATTATTATAGTGATGCCATGAGAACAGATTCAGATGTGAAGGGGTATTGTACATAATAAATGGTGAGTTTTTAAAGTTTTAGTGTCTAGCTTTTAGTTTTGCATTTCCTCTCTTGCTGTCACATTGCCACTTCTTGCTGTAGATACCAGCCCATCTTCCAAGTTTTAATTAGTTATAGCTAATCTGATATAGATTTAGAAATTACATTATCAAGTTTGTTAGAATTTGGTATTAAAAAAGGCTAAATTGCCACATGAGGGATTCTCTAATAAGTAAACTTCATTTGATTTTAATGTGTAGATTCTGGGCAGTTAGCTTCACAGGAATTTTTTTTTCTTGTTTTCTGGGTCTCAGACATATTCCCCAAAGGGGAGAATGACTGATATAAAAAATTTTCAGAAAAGTGAGATGCCGCTATGACATTTTTCATCATGTGTTATACATGTATTAATAAAGGCATGTACTACTTCAATGAATCATTATGTCAATTATTACATATTTTTGCATTTTCTTCTATCATTTTAAAATTGAATCTTAAAATAGCTTTACTTAATTCTTTGAAAGGTTTTCACTCCTGGCTGAACTTTAAAATATATGTTTTACAAGCACAGAAAACTACCACAAAAATGAATGAGCAACAATTATTCTTTCCTTTCAATAGTAAAATTTACTGAAAGCTTTAGGCTACAGGCAGACTTAAGAACTTAATAAATTTTCATGAATTTAAGATTAAGAAATTACATTTCATCTCTAGCTATATTCCATTATTTGTTTATACTTTTTTGGTTTAAAACATAAACAGATGACTTCAGAGAATGAAATCTTCTCATGATACAAAACAGTTAAATTACTTAGTTCTTCCTAAAGTAAATATTATATATTAACATTGAATCATATTATCTCATTGACTTCAAAAACGAGACACAACAGAGGGAAAAAAACTTGGCTTTAAGATCAAAGAAAATCATATATACTATAAAGACCCTGTAAACAACATCATTAATTATTAAAGAATGATGATTTTCACATAAAGTGTTAATGCTTATAAAAGTAAAAACCTAAAGTAAAAATACCACAAACTTCAATGACTGATGAATGCAGTAGGGTAACAAGATTTCCTATGAAGAATAAAGGGATAACTTTTTTCACATTGTGATCAACACCCCTTGTTTGGTTAAGAATTCATCTCTTAGTTATCTATACCTGTAAAAAATACCTGATATGCTTCTCTTCTAATTTTTCTTTTTACAGTATGATATTTGGCATTCAGACTGCATAGTCATTTTGAATTTAATGTGGAATATTTTGTAAAGTCTTGATCTCAGCCAATTTCTACCAGACTACTTTCCAGTTTTCTCAGCAGGTTTTTTTTTTAATCAAATAGAGTTTTTTTCCCTAAGTAATTTGTTTTTAGGTTTCTCAAACTCTGTGTTATTATCATTATTTATGACTCTCCCAAGTGGTCTGTTCCACTTATTTGCTTTTCTATTTTTTTAAACTAATAAAAAATGAGTCTGTTGATTGCTGTTTTATAATACAGTTTGAAATCTAGAAGTATTTTTACCTCTTTTATTCCTATCTTCTTTCATTATTTCCCTTGATATTTTAAATCTTTTATGCCTCCAAATGAATTCTTAAATGACTATACCTAGTTCTGCAAAATATCTCTTCCTATTTTGATCGATATGGAAATAAGACAAAAATTATCTTTAATAATATTATCATTTTTACTATATTGGCAAAATCCAGCACTAAACACTGAATATTTTGCCATCAATTAAAGTTCTTTTTTACTTCTTCAGGGAGTATTTTGTAATAGAAACTATGCAAATGTTGTGTGTTCTTTGATAAGACTGATTCCCAAATATTTTATGCATTTTGCAGTTATTCTGAATGGAATTTTCTTTCCTATTGTCTTCTTTTAGATTTGTTATTGTATAGAAATGCTATTGATATACATAGATTTATTTTACAGCCCAAAACTTTGTTGAAGCTACTACTTGTCTTAATAAGTTTCTTTGCTTATTTCCTAGGATTTTCTAAGTAAACCACAATGTCATTAGTTTTGTCTCCTCTTTGCCTACATTTACTCCTGTAATTCTTTCTTGTACATTACTGCTGTTGGTAGGATTTCTATAACAATAATAGCAGGAAGGGGGACATCCTTGCTTTACTCTTGTATGTACTGAGAAAAGTTCTAGTGTAACCCCATTGCACATAATGCTTCTTTTTGTTTTCAGATAAAAACATTATATTAGAAAAAAGATCTTGCTATACTTTGAAGAGATTTTAGCATAAATAAATGTTATACTTTGTCAAAGTTCATTTCTATATCTCTTAAGATAATAATGTGACCTAGGATGTTTTTATTTTAAATATGATTAATTATGAATTGTTTACCTAATGTCGAACCACCCTTGCACTCCTGGTACAAATCCAATTTGGTCATAATTAATGATTTCTTGGATAAACTACTAGTCTGTTTGACAGGATTTTATTTAAAGATTTCAAGTCAATATTCATTAATGATATTGATCTATAATTCTCCTTCTTACTTTATCCTTCCTTAGTTTAGGAATTAGGATTACATTTTTTTCCTCATAAAAGAAGTTAGGATCAGTGGCTTTCTTTATCATTTTGAAATAAGGAGCTCAATAATTTTAACAAATTTTTCACCATCATGGAAGAATATGAAAAGTAAACAACATGGCTCTGTTCTAAGATGACTAACATTCATAATGATATTCTGAATCTAATAACTGATGAGTTCTGAAACAATATCTGTTTTGATCTTCATAACAATGTTATTGGGTAGATACTACAGGTCTGTGATTTATCAGTCTATTGAATTCCAGGAAGGAAAATTTCTCTACCAATGCAAACCAGCAACTCCTCTGCAACCTATGGTATTAGAAAATTGCCTAGGTTCATACATCCACAGTGTGTCAGAGGTGGAATATGGACCCAGATCATCCTAACTCTAAGGCTATGTATCTATCAACTACATCACAATTTCTCTTTATAAGTATTTTTATTATTACTAACAGTTTATTAGTAAACTAAAGCTGAAAGGTTAATAACTTGCCAATGGCCATGCAGTTAGATGTACTGCAGCTCAGAACTCCAAAACTCTAGTAATCCACCATCCTCAGGCTCTCTAATAGCAAAGACTACACCTATGTCTTCTATTAACACTGATAGAGCAAAACATCTGGATAGACTTCTAGACAATATACTCAACTATAGACTCTAAGGAGTTCAATAAGGCTTCAGACATGGCAGATAAAAAAATTAATAAGGTCTAAACTGTGCCAGACTGTAACAAACTGATTTAACGTCAAGAATAGGCCTTGATTCTAGCAATATTAAATTAGAATTGGCTGTCTAGGGAAATTAGATGAATCTTAGGTTACTCAGTGATGGTCACGTCAGATTTGATTACCTATCTCTTGCAAAATTTTTTAACTGGAGAATATTGTATGTGTTTTAGTTTTAGCTTTACATTATAAAATTTGGGTTTTGTATTTCTATTAGTTAAGATTTAAAAAGGACAATTTTTTTTGCTACCAATATCCTTTTTCAAATTCTCAACTTAAACACCAAAAAGGAGCATTTCTAGACACAGACAAGAAAAAAGAGGTTTCTCTATTAAACCATGAATCCCCATTTCACATCACTTTTTTAAAAAAAAAAAAGTATATCATTTTATATTTTCAAAAATGTCCTACTTATCTGTGCTTCCTTCTTAACCTCATATGTGCATCAAAGAAAAAAAACTTTCTCATCTGTGAGAAATGCATGTTTTCATCGAAGTGTTTTTTAAAAAAAATGTTTCATTTTTTCTGGCATCACTATTGGTGCCCAATCTCATACCCTTCTCCATAATTAACTGAGAGAAGTAAAGAAAATTTTAAAAACTTTTTAACAAATAAAAGCCCTTTTAAAAAAGAACTCTTTTAACATAGTCAAGCAAAATGAATCCACACAGTGATAACAACCAAAAATTTCTTGTTTCTATCTTCTCTCTGACAGAAAGTAGGAATACCATGCTTCACCACAAGTCCTCTAAGACATACTTAGAGGTGAAGTGATCTGAGTTCTTTCAAAGCTGTTTTTCTTTACAGTGTTATTCTTGTATAAATTGTTTTCCTAGTTCTGCTCACTTCATTATGTGTCACTTCATACTACCCAGGTTTTGGTTTTTTTTTTTTAGTGAGGCAATCGGGGTTAAGTGACTTGCCCAAGGTCACACAGCTAGTATGTATCAAGTGTTTGGTCTGAGGCCGGATTTGAACTCAGGTCCTCCTGACTTCAGGGCCGGTGCTCTATCCACTGTGCCACCTAGCTGCCCCAACCCAGGTTTTCTTAAATAATATTGTTTGTCATTTCTTATGTTCCAACAATACTCTATTACATTTAAGAAGTGATCTAAGGCATCCCCATAGAGTTTAGTTATTTGCTTTTCCCATTTCAGGATGAGGAAGTTTGTTTTGCTTATGACTATTCCTTTCCCAGTAATATCCACCCTGTTAAACTCCTCTCCTTCCTCTATCCCCACTTGTTTTTTCTGTTGTGTTTGATATATTTTAATAACAAACTGTGTGGATATTCAACCCCCTTTTGTCAGTTTCAATAAGAGTGAGGTTCATCTAGTAATGTCTACTCCCTCCCAGACCTTCCTCTATATTTGTATATTCTTCTCCTAGTGTACCTATTGATGAGAAATATCAAGTTCTATCCTGCTTTTCCTCCTTTTTATACAAGTGTATTTTTTCACCTTTCCTAATCTTTCCCCTTTTCAAATCCTCAGAATAGAACCAATATACTCTAAAGGACCTCTGTTCTTCTTATTTAATTCCTTTAACTTCCTTTGAAGATATTAAGGTTCTAAAGGGACACATTCATTCTCCCCAATTAAAATATAAACGCATCATTATGCAGCCCCTTCCAATACTCAAATAAATTTTCCTTTCTAGGTTTCTCTTGTTTCTTCTAGTATATTTTATTTCAGAGTTCCTAATCAGTTCTATTCTTTTCATTAGAAATAATGAAAGTCCTCTAGTCCATTAAAGGTCTATTTTCCCCCTGTGGGATTCTACTCAGCTTTTCAGGGTAAGTTTTTCTTGGTTATAAGGCTATTTCTTTTTTGCCTTTTGGAATATTACATTACAAGAGTACCTCTAGATTATAGTAGAAGCTTTTCAGTCTTGTGTAATCCTGACTGTGGTCCATTGGTACTTGAAGCGCTTCTTTCTATATATTTTCAGTTTTACTGCTTTGATGTCAGTGCTCAGTTTTAGATATGGCAATCCTAGTACTTCTCTTTTTAGAGTTTCTTTCAACAGATGATAGATTGATTCTGTCTTTACTTTGCCCTCTGATTCTAATAAATCAGGAAGTATTTATTTCTTGAAATATACCATTTTTTTTTAAATCAAGCTTTTCAGGGAATCTAATGATTTTAAAAGTATTTCTCCTTGACCTGAAAATTGCAAATACTGATTTTAAAAAATGAAAATAAGCTTTCACCTAACAAAACTACACAAAATGTTTTTAATTCTTGACTTGAAAAGAATATACATTTGACTGTACTCAGCGCTTAACAGTTTTATTCTTTTGTTGTCTGGACTATTCATGTAAGTCTGAAGAATATCCAGTTAGGTATTTTGTGAATGAAATACTATTTTACAATAGGGGATAACAATGTTAATAAAGAGCAAAAGAATGTGATATGAGATTTAACTTACCTTTCATTTTCCTTAGCAACATTTTCAAGTTGTAGTGTCATCTCCCCAACCTGTTTCTGAGAAAAAAAAATGACCACGATAATTAGTATTCTATAATTATGGTACCACTGAGTAGTCAGATCATATAAGAATAATCAGATGCCATAATGTCAACTGACATAAGAATAATTTATTGTTTCTAATTATCAATTTCAAAGGCGAACATTTTATACAATGCATGTAGTAAAGCTGAACATTTATTTATAGTAACACACATGAAAGACAATCTCAACTACTAACATTTTATACCATATATTTCATAAATATTCATATGTCTTTCCTTTAATTCAAATGATACTGAAAAATATCTCTGACATTATAATAGATATGGCGAGTTTCCTTGGAAAGTCTATATAGTTCAGTAAATTTGTCAGTCCGTTTTGGAATTAAGACTACATCTATTCTCAGTAACTCAGGAACATGAACAGGAATTGAAAATGGGGAAAAGACAACAGTCTATTTCAATCTAGAAAAACAGAGTTCAGAAACATATGCTAACCCATATGCTAACATATGGGCAGCTAGGTGGCACAGTGAATAGAGTGCCGGGCTTGAAGTCAGGAAGAATCAACTTCCTGATGTTCAAATCTGGCCTTAGACACTTTCGAGCTGTGTGTCTAAGTTGTTTAACCCTGTTTGTCTCAGTTTTCTCATCTGTAAAATGAGCTGGAAAAGGAAACGGCAAACCACTCTATTATCTATACCAAGAAAACCCTAAGTGAGGTCAGAAAGGGTCGAACACAACTGAAACAAATGAACAATAACAATAAACTACGTTAACTCAGCTTCCCTAAATACCCCTAACCCAACAGGGCCGGCCTGGATCTAAATCAGAACTTTTCCATAGGAGCTGTGGACCAAAGCAAGTTCCCAGACCCACTGTAATTCAGTTTCATATTCTCAGTGTACAGATAAAATGGTACAAAATGGGTACAAAAATACAACATGGATATAAACTGAAGAATGAATATATAATCCCATTTAATAATTTTTATTCTGGCATTCAGTGAATAGAACTTTTATATTTAAAAGAACTATCTTTTTGTTGTCAAGATATTGCCTTTCAGGAAAAGCATGCATCATTCTTAACTTATATATTAGACATATATATAAAATATAAAGCATTCTAGCCATGTGTATAGTAGAAGCGATCCCTTAGTCTTCATAATATGAATTCCATTTTTCTGATAGGAGCATTTGTATACAGCAAATAGTTAAGGCATTTATTTATATCCCTTTCAAACCATATTGGTTTATAAAAGTGGGCCAGTGAGAAATTATAAGGGCTAATTCTACTAAGCACTGAGAACTCCTTGCTATCTTTTTGACTACTCTGAGGAATACCATGAAATATCCTTATCATTACATACCCTCAAAAAAGCGTGGCAGTAGCAGCAAACCCACATGACACAATCAACTTTAGGGAGCTAGAAAATGCTAAAGTGAGAAGGAAAGTTAAATACTTAACAAAAGCATAGAAATATGTACATTAGACTCAAAATATTTCTTAAAAGTATATGTGTTAATATCTATCTATATCTTATACCTAGACTTTACATGCATTATAAATCTAGATAATCTGTATATTACAGCACCAGAGAAATCTACTTTTACAGACTACTTTTACTACTATCTTTAGAAAGTCTGTTCTCACCAATCCCCAAAATAAAAATGTTAAATCTTTTGTTTGAAAACATTTTTAAAAGTAATATCTGTCAATTTTCAGAAGAATTAATAGAAGCTACTATAGTTTCAAAATAGCTTAGACTAGTCACTGGCAGTTGAAGGAAGGCCAACATAAGCTTTTATGAGCTTTTATGAACTTAAAAGCATTTTGAAAGCATATTGAAAGCATAAGGGATGCTAGTGCTATATATATATTCAAACATAGCTAAATAATTATTAAATGGGATTTTCTGGGATACATTTGGAACCTAACAGCCATGTATCACATTTAATGGGAAATATATCAAGTCAGTTCCAAAAAACTGACTTGCAAATTGACATTATAACTTAATGACTGAACATTTAACTATCTAAGCCCCTTTTTAATTTCCAAGGAATAAGAGTTGAAACTGAAGTTTGGATCATTTACAATTTTCCAATACTTAACAATTTATACTTTTGAAAGTACCCACCCTCAGCATAGGGAATTTGGGAAGATTCCAGTTTTCAGAAAGCCAGTTGATGCCTTCAAGGAGCTTACATTCTACTGATAAGGAATAACATATGAAAAGATACTGGAATTCATCCAACTAATTATAATCATACCTCATGATAATTAGATCATCTTTCATCCCTCAAAACACAAACAAGATGTTATCCTATCATTGCTTGAAAAAAGAGAAAAGTAAGTGGGATACCTTACTTGTTGCTCACACCAAACCTAATCACACCTATTACCCTTCCCACAAGAAGTTGAGTCATCTTTTAAGTGGTTCCAACAAAAAATGAATCATTTGTCTTTTTGTTTACACTGGAGGCATTTATATATTTTTTAATTATTTTTTTGTTCCAAATTAACAGGCATCTGCTCGTCTCCCAACCTCACCCCACCTCCACCACTAGGGGAAAAACAAATAATAATAACAACAAGATGCCTATAACAAAATATAGTCAGGTAAAACACAATCCCATCTTGGTCATGTCCAAAAATATATGCATTGCTCTGTATATCTAGTCCATCGCTTCTTTGTCAAGAGGTGGACAGCATTGTAAATCATCAATCCTCTGGAGTCATGGTTGTTCATAGTAATAAAGAAGTTCTTAAGTCTTTCAAAATTGTTTTGTTGTTATACCATAAAGTGTTCTCCTGGCTCTTCTCTCTTCACTTTGCATCAGTTCAAAGTGAGTTTTCAAGTGACATCTATTCTCTCTACTCTTTCTTTTTCTGAATGAACTTCACTTGGGCCTCCCATTTAGGTGAGATGATGTCTCACTCTCATTTTTCCTCTTTTTTCCCTTAGTGTATGCTTTTATCCTCTCACTTTTCTTTATCCATTTAAGATCATCAAAATATAATAAAAATCACTCCCAGGGCCTCTATCTTATTTGAATCCTTCTATGACTTCTGTTTATATCTATATTGTTTCTTAGGGGATAGTTCCATCATCCCTATCCCTCCCCTCTCCAATTAGAACACAGACATTTCATCCTTACAAAGTCTATTCTGACTACTCACTTGTATTTAATTTTTTATGTTTATTTTTATTCCGGCGTTGGTATTTCAAAGTTTCTAATAAATTCTGGTCTTTTCATTAGGATTTCTTAGAAGTCCTCTATTTCCTAAAAATTCATTTCCCCACTTATAGAATCAAACTCAGCTTTGCTAGTTGTAAGACTATATCTTCTGCCCGCTGGAATATCTTATTCCATGTTCTCCTTTATAATGATAACTGCTAAATCTTGTGTGAACCTGACAACAGTTCTTCAGTATTTTAACTCTTTCTTTCTGCTACCTTGCAGAGTTTTGTTGTTTGGTTTTTTTTCTTTGACCTGGAACATCTCAGATTTTGATTCTAATAATACTAGTTTTCATTCTGGTGTTTCTTTCAGGAGAGATAACAAATGGATTTTTTTATATTTTCATTTTGTCCCCAGATCTGAGAAATCTGGGTTGTTTTCTTTCATGTCTTGAAATATGATATCCAGTCTCTTTTCAGTCATACCTTTCAGGTACTCCAAATATTCTTAAGTTAGCTCTCCTTGATCTGTTTCCCAGGTCATTTGTTTCTGACAGAAGCAACTCTATATTTTCTTTTCTATTTTCATGCTTTTTACTTTAATATTTCTTGTTGTCTCATGGACATTAATATCTCATGAAGCCATTAACTTACATTTGGTACATTCTAGTTTTCAGAGAATATGTTATTTGGATAAGTTTTGTACCTCTTGTGCCAAGCTGTTTTCTCTTTTCAAGTCTCTCTTCCATAGCTCTCATTTCTTTTCTAGTTCTGTCCTCTATTGCTCTCATTTTATTTATAATACTATTTTAACTCATTTAAAAAACAAAACAAAAGTCTTGCATCATTTCTTCTAGGAATTCTAACTGATCTGTGGGCAAGCTGTTTTGCCTTGAGACTTTGCTTGTGGACATTTTGAAGTTATTCTCTTCTTCTGGGTTTGTGTCTTCAGCATGCCGGTCCTCACAAAGGTTCTTCACTTTTTTCTTGTCGTTTATTCAGTATTCCAACAAATCTGCTCTGGGTAACCAACAGTTGTCAGCTGTGAGCTCTTTTGTGACTGAGTGATTGATCCTGCCCTAAGGGAGACTCCTCTGTGCTGCTTTCCTGAAAGAGTAAGGAACTAAGTCCATGATCTGCTCTGGGCAACTTCATGTGGGGGGGGGGAGGGAATGGGGGGGGGGGGGCAGTTCACTGAGACTATACTCCAGGCCCTCTGGAAAACCTCTAGCTGCTGGCATAAACTGAGAGTGAGAAAATCAGCTCTAAGCTTACACCTGCTGCCCTACCTCAGAGTTCTGGGTGGTAAGTCCATGATCCCAATATGTTACACAGTTTCTGCCCAGGTCACTTGCTTGAATATCTAAATTATGACCTTTTGCTGGAAAAAATGACCCACTGTAGTTTCTCCTTCAATTTCCCAAGCACTATTAGATTTGGTGTCCATCTTAAATCATTGTGGAAGGAGTAAGGATGCACTATCTCCTTCTACTCCATGATCTTGGCTGGTCTCCCCAGGTTCATATAGTGTTTCACAAATTTATATTCAATATTTTGTTGGGATGACTTCTTGTTATTGCCAGAATACTAATGCCAAAGTCCCTTGGGTTTTCTATACCTGTGCCAAGTTCTTGCTTCACCAGTAATATCTGCAGAACCAAAGAACTTCAAGAATGTCCATAGCTACCCACAGGGAGAAGCTGGTACAACTGATGCTTCTAAAAAAAACTTGCTAAGTTAAATCCAAATTCTGATAAATTGAAAAAGTGCTTAAGATAGGCCAGGATGCCACCTTTCTAGTGATACAGGTAATTTTGGTAAATGCCAGTCAACTTTGTCATGCATATGCGATCACTATCTGTTGATCTGAACTAAATGCTGAGGAGTTTGTTTGCTAAATGCAATAGCTTGTTTTGGGGTTCAGTTGAAAACTGCTGCATTTATTTCCCCAAGCATACTGTAATTGGGTGAAGCAAGAAGAGGTAGTCTGTTAGTATATTAATCTGGGATGAAAAAATTATCTGAAGGTTAAGCCTAAAAAAAAATCCCTAATATGTAATGATAATCGAGAATTTAACTTTTTGGAAGTTAAATTCTTTCTATTAAGACTGTTCAAAAAACAAGGTGGTCTATTTGTTTTCTTCTTTTATACTAAGAAATACATATTTTATAAATCTGTACAAATGTGAATTCATACCTGATAATATTCTAGTTGCCTGTTCACCTCTTCTAGATGTTTATCATACTCAGAAATAAGAGGAGCTAAAAAGCTGAAAATAAAAGAATTAATATAATTTATTCTGGTCAGTGAGTCAATAAGCATTTATTTATTTATTTTTGGTGGTGAAAATGAAATTTTATTTTTAATTTATGAAATAACACAAGCATTTCCATAACCTAGTAGAAAAAAAGATTGCACATGAAACTGCAAATCTATTATGTACAACTTGCTATTCCTTTTAAATATATGTGAGAAATGAATATTTCTCATATTTAACAACTAATTATTGTATTAAGACCAAGGTTTTTCCCCTTTTCTAATTCCTCATCCAGAAACCAACCAGTATGGCAAATTTCTCTTAGAGATTTACCCAGGCCAATATCTAGTCAGACAGTAAAAGAAATTCTGAGTTTAGGCTAATGGATGTATTCCTACTCATTATGGTTGATCAGACAGGTCCTATTATCAAGACAGGTGATATGGACACTGATGTCTCTTTGATCAAGATTTGAGTGACCTAAGTCACTTACCTTAAGATAGCCCACAACCCATTTGATTAACCAATCAGAGGTGATTAGGCATCCCTTGGGAATACCTCCTCTTCAAAGGGCATATAAACTATGACCCCACCACCATTAGGGGTCTTTGGTCTGAGAGAGACAGCCAAATGACCATTCTTTTATTAAAAACCTGCTGGCCTTATTAATAAAATTATTAAATTACCCAGAAACCATGTTTCTTGAACCTTTTCAAATGTCACACACCAATAGTTATCATGTAAATTTCTTTCTTTTTCCCTTTTTTCCCTCCTCCTTCCCCTCCCCACCCTAGAGATGGCTACCATTAGACACAAATATGTAAAATATATGTGAAATCATTCTATACGTACTTTTATTTATCAGTTCTTTCTCGGGATGCAGATAGTGTCTTCCTTCATAGGTCCTTTGTAGTTAATTTGGGTAATCATACTAGTAAAAATGACTTAATTGTTCAAAGCTGTTTTTAAAACAATCTTGCTGTTACTATACACAATGTTCTCTTGGTTCTGCTTATTTCACTCTTCATTATTTTGTGCAAGTCTGTCTATTTTTCCTACAATCGAAGAGCTCATCATTTCTTTCTTTCTTTTTTTTTTTGTGAGGCAATTGGGGTTAAGTGACTTGCCCAGGGTCACACAGTTAGTGTCAAGTGTTTGGTCTGAGGCCAGATTTGAACTCAGGTCTTCCTGACTCCAGGCGCAGTGCTCTATCTACTGCACCACCTAGCTGCCTAGAGCTCATCATTTCCTATAGCACATCATATTCCATCACAATCATATACCACAACTTGTTCAGCCATTCCTCAATTGATGGGCATCCCCGCAATTTCCACTTCTTTGTGCTAAGTGCTAGTAACACAAAGAAAGACAAAGTCAGTTCCTGCCCTTGAGGAACTCACAAACTAATGGAGGACATAACAAACAAACGAATATGTACAAACAACCTATGTACAAAATGAACAGGAAATAATTAACTTAGAAAAGGCACTTCAATTAAGAACGATTGGGAAAAGCTTCCTGTAGGAAAGGGATTGTTAGCTGGGACTTGAAAGAAGCCAGGAAAGTCAGGGGGCAGAGATGAGAAGAGACAGCCTTCGAGGCATGGGGGACAGACAAAAAATGCCCACAGTTGAGAGAGGAAGTGTCTTGTTTGTGGAACAGCAAGGAGGCCAGTGTAACTAAAATGAAAAGTACATTGAAGGTGCGGGGCGGGGAGGGCCAGGAGGCTATTGTAAAATGTAAGAAGACTACAAAGGTTTGTATATGTATAGGTTATGAAGGGCTTTGAATGCCAAACAGAGGATTTTGCATTTGATCCTGAAAGTGTCAGAGAGCCACTGCAGTTTACTGATTAGTGGGTAAAATAGTTGGATCTGCATTTTTGGAAAATCACTTTGGCAGCTCAGTGGAGGATGGAGTTGGGTAGAGAATCTGAGGGAGGCAGACCCACCAGTTGGCTATTGAAATAGTCCAGGTATGAAGTGATAAAAAGCCTGTACTAGGGGGATGGCAGTATCAGAGGAGCAAAGGGGACATATTGGAGAGATGTTACAAAGATAAAATCAACAGACCTTGGCGACAGGTTGTGCATAGGGGATGAGATACAGCAAGAAGTCAAGGATGACACCTAGGGCTATTAGCTTCTGGGACTGGAATGATGGTGCCCTTGACAGTAGTAAGTGAAACTGGAAGAGGGAAGGGTTGAAGGGTAAAGATAATGAGTTCCATTTTAGACTTGCTGAATTTAAGATGTCTACTGGACATCCATTTTAAGATATCTGAAAGTCAGTTGGAAATGCTAGTCTGGAAGTCAGTAGAGACTTGGTAGAGGGATAGAAGGGTAGATTTAAGAATCATCAGCATTGAAATGATAATAGTTTGGTCTAACAAACTTGTTGAACATTTCCTAAAAAGGTATCATAAATGAAAGAGTAAATATTATAATAAAGTCTGACTTTCCCTTAGCATCCCTAAAAAATTTTTTTATCATTATCTTATATTATGAAATAATTCCTTTAAGAATAAGCATATGTGAGGTAGCTAGGTGGTACAGTGGATAGAGCACTGGCACTGGATTTGGGAGGACCTGAGTTCAAATCTGGCCTCAGACACAAAACACTTACTAACTATGTGACCCTGAGCAAGTCACTTAACCCCATTGCCTAGCCAAAAAAAAAAAAAAAAAAAGAATAAGCATATGACTGATCCAACCATTGTGGAGAGCAATTTGGAACTATGCCCTTTGACCCAGCAATATAGAAATGATATTGCTGGGTCAAAGGGTATGAACATTTTTGTAGCCCTTTGGGCATCGTTCCAAATTGCTCTCCACAATGGTTGGATCATACAAATTGGAAAAACGGCCCACATGTACAAAAATATTTATAACAGCTCTTTTTGTGGTGGCAAAGAATTGGAAATTGAGGGGATGCCCATCAGTTGGGGAATGGCTGAACAAGTTGTGCTATATGAATGTAATGGAATACTATTATTTCATAAGAAATCATAAGCAGGCAGACTTCAGAAAAACCTAGAAAGACTTGAATGAACTGATGCTGAGTGAAGTGAGCAGAACCAGGAGAACATTGTACACAGTAACAGCCACAATGTGCGATGACTAACTTTGATAGACTCATCTCTTCTTAGCAATGCAAGGATCTAAGACAACTCCAAAGGACTCATGATGGAAAATACTGTCCATATCCAGAAAAAGAACTATGGAATCTGAATGCAGATCAAAGCATATGATTTGCTCTCTCTCTTTTTTCTTTGTTTCTTCTTTCTTGTGGTTTCCCTCATTGCTTCTAATTTTTCTTTACAAGAAGACTAATGTGAAAATAGGTTTAATATGAATGTATATGTAGAGTCTCTATCAAATTGCATGCTGTCTTGAGATAGGAGGGGAGAGATGTGGAGAAAATATGGAACTCAAAATCTTATGGATTTTGTGAATTTTGAAAACTAAAAATAAATTTAAAAAAAGAATAAGTATATAATTATATACTTATTAAAATTTTTAAATTAAAATTAAATTCAATTAAAAATTAAATAAAAATTAAAAATAAAAATAAAAAAATTAAATTAAATTAAAAATTAAATTAAAATTCAATTTAAATTTTAAAAATAACAATAAAAATAAAATAATTAAAAATTAAAATTTAAAAATTAAAAACTATGTAATTATATACTTATTAAAATTACATACTTAAAAAATAAGTATATAATTATTAAAATAAAATTGCTTTAATTGAATCGATTATGATCCTCATATCCATCAGATTAACAAAGATAGACAAAGAAAAGGGGATGTGGGAGGATAGGAAGTAAGTACACTGTTGGTGTAACTTGTGAACTGATTCAACTATTCTAGAAGAAAATTCAGAACTATACCCAAAAAGTCTCTTTTAAGTTGTTTATCAGTCATGTCTGACTCTTCACAATTCCATTAGGGGTTTTCTTGGCAAAGATACTGAAATGGTTTGCTATTTCCTTCTCCAGCTTATTTTACAAATGAGGAGACAGAGGCAAACAGTGTTACATTAAGTGACTTGTACATATCCTCTGATTATTAGGCATATACACTAAGTAGATCAAGCAAAGAAGAAAAGGACTTATATCTACAAGAATATTTAAACGAGTATTTTTTCTTATAATAAGGAACTGGGAACAAAATAGGTGTCCATCAATTGGGCAATGGCTGAACAAATTGTTTTAACATGAATGTAATGGAATTTTAATTGTGCCCCCAGAAATATGATGAATTCAAAGAAATATATATGAAGAGATTCATTTTGAACTGATGCAAAGTGAAATTCGTACAATGGAAACAGGAGAACAATTTATGTAATAAGCACAATAAGGGAAGGGAAACAAATTATGAAAAATTATGTTTCAAGGGAAACAAATTATGAAAACCTCACGACTCGGAACAAAGTGATGGCCAATCATGACTTCAAAATAAAAATATCTCTCCCTTCTCCTTGAAAGTGAGATGACTTATTAGGGGTTCAGAACCACACATGCATTCTCACCCAGAAATGGTTTTGCCTGAAGATAAATATTTGTTAATAATCGAGTGGCTCTGCTTGCTATGCAGTCCTTAAGGTGGCGGGGAGGGAGGGGTGCCATGGGTTGGCAGGTAGTGAATGAGAGGCAAATTTATGTTTTATTCATTGAAATCAATTTAATTGTAAATGGTTTTTAAATAAGTTTAGATGTTTGTATTGAAATTCAATATAAAGGTTTCAACAAAACATCCTGTAAAACATCTTTAAAAAAATAAAAATAAACTTCCTGGCAATTCAGTTTTACCTTCTGTCAGTCATAGTGGCTTCTAATGTGTCATCTCCATTGCCATGTAAGACAGTTTTCTGGAACAGAGAAACATGTATTTTAAAATGTTGTAGCATATCATACTATATAAAACTGTAATTACTCTAAAATTAATAAACATATTAATAAAAATTAAAATCATATGATTATATGAATAGATGCAGAAAAAGTTTTTTCTAAGATACAACAATTTCTCTTAAATATTAAAAAGCACAGGAATAAATAGGCCTTAATATATAGATAGTATCTATCTAAAAATAAGAGTCAATATTATATGTAATGGAGTAGTAGCAGCCTTTTAAATAATGAGTAAAGTAAGCATGTTCATTACCATCACTATTATTTGACATAGTTCTAGTAATACTAGACATAAAAAAGACAACAAAAAAGCTGAAAGCATATTCAATGAAGAAACAAAAATATTGGGGTTTTTTATGACATAATAATAGTCTGCTTAAAGAACGCTGGTCAACTAAAATTCATTTAAACAATAAATTCATCAAAATATTAGAATGTAAAATAAACTCATAAATCATCAGCTTTTCTATATATTATCAACTAAATTCAACTGAAAGTACTAGAAAGGGAAATTCCCTTTAAAATATCTGCATAATATATGATACATCTGGGATTCTACCTACCAAGATACATAAGAACTATATGAATACAACTATAAAACATTCTTTAAAAAATAATAAACTCAAAAACTATATAGACCCAAATAATTGGAATGATATTAATTGCTCATGGGTAGTTGATCACAATATGATAAAAATGATAAAAACTATCAAATAAATTTTCTTAGTGTCCTACCAATGAAATTGTGAAAGGGTTACTTTATAGGGCTAGAAAAAACAAAATTCAGCTAGAGGAACACAAGATCAAGAAGCTCAAGAGAAATGACAACAATAACGAAAAAGGTAGCAAGGAAGAGGGTCTAGCAGTATCAATTATCAAATTAAACTACAAAGCAGTAATCACAAAAATTATTTGGTGTGAGTTAAAATGCATAAATTTGATCAGAAGAAAGGATTAAGAATCCAAGATCCAGAAGCAAATTAATATAGTGGAAGAAAGTCTGATAAAACTAAACTATTGCGGTGAGAACTCACTATTCACCCAAAAACTGGTGAGGAAACTAGAAAGCAGTTGGGTAGAAGCTAAGTATGGACCAACATCTCACACCATAGACCAAGAAAAGTTCCAAATGAGTACATGACTTAGACATAAAAAGTCACGTCACAAACAAATTAGAGGAGAAATTACCTTTCAGATCTATGGACAGGGAAAAAGTTTATGACCAAACAAAGGAATCCCAGGAGATAAAATGAACAATTTCGATCATATAAAATTTAAACATTTTTGCAAAAAGACAAAATCAATGCAGTTCAAATTAGAAGGGAAGCAGTTTGAAGGAGAAAAAAATTCTTCTAAGGAAGTTTCTATGATTAAGATCTAATTTTCAAGATATATAATGAAACAATTCAAATTTATAATATAATATAAAACAAAAAGAATTAAGAACTATTCCTTGATAGCCAAAGGAAATGAACAGTTTTCTAATGAAGAAATTGAAGATGTCAATTGCCATGTGAAAAAAAAATTATAGAAATCACTATCAATTAGGTAAATGAAAATTAAAATAATTGGTATACTTAACAAAAAAAGAAAAAGACACGTTAGAGGGACTGCAGGAAAACAAGTACATTAATGTATTGTTGATGGAGTTGTGATACAGCCATTCTGGAAAGCAATCTGGAACTATTTCTCAAAGATTATAAAACTATGCATACTCTTTGACCTAGAGATGCTACTAAAGATGACTAGATCTATACGTCAAATAGATAAGAAAAGTTGAAAAGGATGCATATGTACAAAAACATTTGGTGGCATCCATCAACTGGGGAATGGTTAATCAAATTATAATATATGAACGTAATGGAATACTATCGTGCTTTAAGAAATGATGACGTTTTCAGAGGAAACCTAATAATGATTAAGTTTCAAATAAACCTGAGAAGATTTGTATGAATTGATATAGAGTGAAGTGAGCATAAATAGGGAGAACAATTTATACAGTAACAACAAGATTGTAAATACAAAAAAAAAAAACCGCTTGAAATAATAATAATGATGATAAAGATGATGATTTACATACTTCCAAGTGCCAGGTAGTATGCTAAGTGACAAAGCCACACAGCTATTATGTATCTGTGATTGGATTTGAGATAAGACCTTCCTGTTTCCAGGACTAGTGCTCTATCTACTTCACCATTTAGCTAGAACATTATGGAATGAAGTGGAATATTACTGTAATAAATAAGAAAGGATGAAAGTGACAATTTCAGAGAAACTGGGGAGATCTGTATGAATGGATAGAGAGTAATCAGAACTATGAGAACAAATTATACTACAACAACAACACTGAAAAAATAATTATTTTTAAAGACTTTAGAACTCTGATCAACACAATGATCAATTATGATTCCATGACAAATGCTACTCACCTTCTGACAAAGAGGTGATGGATAAATATACATAACAGACATATTTTTGGACAAGGCCAATATAAGAATTTGATTTACTTGACTATTACAACGGGTTTTTTTTCCCCCAGTTTAGAAGTGAAAGGGAGAAAAAATAAATGCTTGATAAGGGAGTAGGGTGAGAGGGATTTATTAAACACTTAATATGTGGCAGGCACTGTGCTAAGTCCTGAAGATACAAATAAAAAAGAAAAAACAATTATCATAAATTCTGAGGGAGACAATATATAAATAACCAGGTACACATAAGATACATACAGTGTAGATGAAGGTAATATGAAAAGAGAAGGCATTATCACCAAGGGTAAGGGGCTGTTAAAAGTCTCCTGAAATTTTTGATTTAGAAAGGATTTGAGGTGTCTTGAAAGAAATTAAGGAAACTAAGAGGCAAAGGTGAGGGGACACAGGATTCCAGGAATGTAGGATAGTCATTACAAAGGCATAGAGATGGGAGGTGGAGTATCTTGTTCGAGGAACTGCAAGTAGACTAGTGTATGTAGATCATAGAATGTGTAGAGGAATGTAGGGTATAAGAAAGATAAAAGTGTAAGAAGGGGACAAAGCATAAAGAACTTTAAAGGCCAAAAAGGGAATTTTATATTTGATCCTGAAAGTAACAGATAGGTACTAGAGTTCACCGAGCAAGGCTGGGAATCAAACCATACACTTTAGAAAAATCACTTTGGCAACTGAATGGAGATGGGAAGAGACTTGTATTAAGGACAGACTTGAGATAGGCAGAACAGTTAGAAGGCTATTGCAATAATCCTGGATAATAAGGTGGTTCAGGTAATACAGTACTCCAAGTAATGAGGACCTAAACTAGGCTATAGCTAAGTGCCTGGAGAGAAGTGGACATAAGAGTTGTTGTGAAGGTAGGAACAAGATTTCAGCAATGGACTGAATATGCAGTATGAGTGACAGGTTTTAAACCCCAAACAGCAGGCCAGTTTTGAAACTAACACATTAATTTATTTTATACTTAAAAAATAAACAAGCTATACACAAAAGAAATTAGTAATTTTGTATAAAATCCTCTTTTCTTTTTATATGGAAATAATCATGTCTGTATGTGTTAACTGTTAAGCTGAATTTACAAATAATTCAAAATTTTAAAAAAATCTAAGTTATAGATAAATTGCTAATTTTCATCAGTGATGAAAGTTCCTACATCTTAGGTACTCTAAAAGGCTGGAATCATAGGTCTAAACCAAAAGGGGGAAAAAAAAAAACTTAATGCATAAAACCCATGTAAATTAGAATAGTTTTAACTGAATTATTGCATAATTTAAGTTTTTAGAATTCAGACTCAAATGATAGAATTTTACCAAGTAATTCTAAAACTTCTGGGGTAGCCAGGTGACACAGTAGATAGAACTCCAGGCCTAGAGTCAGGAAAATCTGAGTTCAAATCAGGCCTCAGAAATTTACTAGCTATGTGACCCTAACTAAGTATATCACTTAACCCTGTTTGCCTTAGTTTCCTGGTCTGTAAAATGAGCTAGAGAAGGAAAAGGGAAACCACCCCAGTATCTTTGCCAAGAAAACACCAAATGGGGTCACAAAGAATTAGACATGACTGAAATGACTAAACAACAACAACAAATTCTAAAATTTTTGCTACATGAAAATCAGGGAGACTTCAAAATAATATATTTTTCTTTCACATTTAATTTGATGCTCATCTCATAGTTAGCTGTGGCCAAAAAAATCATTACATAGCAACCAATCTCCTGATGATATATACTTAGATGATCAATTCACATACCCGTTCAGGTGAATATTTGGAAAGATTTTCCATTTGATATCGCTTAAGTACTGCATTTAGTCTCTGATCTGAAAGAAAGAGGAAATTAGGTTGTAATTTAATTATTCAATTTTTTAAAAAGAATTAAGGATGTAGTCATAAAATAAAGCATGTTTTGAAGTACTTTGGGTTTTAGTAAAGGGAGTAGATAGAAAGTTGGCCTCACACTAAGGAAGCCATCAGTTCAAATTATTCACTAGATAACTCTCTAACACTGTAAGTTTTCAGAGCAACTACTGATATAAATTGATAGAGGAAATTTTCTCACCTGTAGCTTCCTACACCAATGAAATCACTGGTCCGGTAAAAACAATTAAAAGAAACATTAAAATACTAACCAAAAAAAAAAAACCTTCAAATCATACAAGTCAACTAAAGCTCCCACTAGAAAAGAATGTACATTCTGCAAACTATCCCCGCTACTTTCAATACACTTCAATAGTCAATCTTCTTATACTTGTTTCTCCAGTTGGTAATAGTAACAGGTTAAAAAAAAAAAACAAACAAAAAACCAAAAACCCTAACCCTTCAAGTTTCTGGTGCCACTAATCAGACCTTAGCAGGTCAGTAGATCCATAGGTCAGACTACACTAAGGAAAATATTTTTCAGAGAGCTCTCTCTCCAAATATTCTTAGGCATTTGGTTGAATTTTAATCAAACTGAATTTTAATCAAAGAGTAGTAGTTGCAGGAAGCAAAAGAATCCAGTTAAGCCTCCAATGAAAGGTAAAATTATAATTCAAGATGAGGTAGCTAATTATGGGGAGATATAAAACTATTAATTTCCTTCTTTAATAGAAGATATTAGAAATCTAAGAAAAATATACAGCCTATTAAGCTATTTCACAACATAACATTTGTTTTGTGATTAAAACTTCTTTAGTTCTTAGAATAGGACCAATTATTGCCAATATTCATTCAACAAAAAATTATTAAGTGCCACACTTTGCAAAGCATCACTACAACTGCAGGAAAACAAAGAAGAAAAACAAGTCCTTGTCCTCAAGAGTCTCACAAACTAATGAGGTTAAAAAGGCATGTGGAAAAATATGTATTCTATAAGGTAAAACAGGTGTCAAACACAAGATCCACAGGCTGTGTGGCCTACAACACTTCAGGGTGGAGCCTGAACAAGATTAAAATGTAATTGGGAAATATTTAAGAAAATAAACATACAACAAAACACAGATAATATTACACTTTAAAAACTAAGTCAAAATGCAGCTTCGGGGATCCTCATGTACTGATTATTGATCACAGTTCTTATTTGAGTTTTATGTTGACTTTTTTATTTAGTATTTTATTTTTCTCCAGTTACATGTCAAAACAATTTTTAACATTTATTTTTAAAACTTTGAGTTCCAAACTCCAAAAAAGCCTCAAGAAAAATAAAGAAAGTAAAAAAAAAAAGGATGCTTCAACCTGTATTCAGACATCATCAGTTCTTTCTCTGGGGATGGACAGCATTTTTCATAAGTCCTTCAGAGTTGTCTTGGATCACTGTATTGCTGAGACTAGTTAAGTCAGTCATAGCAGATCATCTTACAGTATTGTTGTTATTTTGTACACAATACATTCCACTTTACATCAACCCATGCAGGTCCTGCAAGGTTTTTCTGAGAGCATCCTACTCATCATTTCTTATAGCACAATAGTATTCCATCATAATCACATACCACAACTTGTTCAGACATTCCCCAATTGATAGGCATCCCCTCAATTTCTAATTCTTTGCCACCAGAAAAGAGCTGCTATAAATATTTTTGTACATATAAGTCCTTTCCCTTTTCATTTTTTCTCTTTTGGGATACAGACCTAGTAGTAGTATTGCTAGATCAAAAGGTATACATGGTTTTATAGCCCTCTGAGCATAGTTTCAAACTGCTCTACAGAATGGTTGAATCAGTTCACAACTCCACCAACAGTGCATCAATGTCTCATTTTTCCCACACCCCTTCCAACATTTGTCATCTACCATTTCTGTCTTATGAGGCAATCTAATAGATAGGAGGTAGTGATGGGGTGCTTATGCTTAGACCACAGCCCTAGGACCACACTTTTCCCCAGCCTAATGACCCTATCTCTGGCAATAACTCATGAGTGGGCTGAGTGAGGCAAACTATCTCTCGCTGCTACAAGAACAAGCTGACCTCTGTAGAATTTCCCTTGTATGAATAGCACTATCTTGTACCAGAGCAGAACTGTCATGTACTGATTACTGATTCCCATAGCTACCATATACAATCCAGACGTCAAGCCACAGACATCAACTCCCAAAGCTATCTTGTCACAGATGTATAGACCCCTTAGAAGTCCCCCAAGCCCTTTTCAGGGTTTCAGTAGTGAATAATGCCTGTGCCCAAGGTACAGAAACTGTATGTTCACCACCAAATTAACATTCTTGGCACACCACTCACTGAATCTCTCCTATTATAAGCGTTAGCTTCACTCTTGCTAGGTTTTTAGTTCCCTAAAAGAGCTCTGCCCTCCTTTATTAGCATTATAATAAACTTTCTGCCACTTGACTGGAAGACTCCTTGAGTCTTAGAATTCTTTCCAGACAACTGCACCCTGAACCTCGGTATTTTGGGGTCCCTGCAACCACATCATTGGTACCTCAGAATTGTTTTAATTTGCATTTCATTCAATAGTGAGATAGAGTATTTTTCATATGGCTGTAGATAGCTTTGATTACTTCATCTGAAAACACATCTTTTGATCATTTATCAATTGGGGAATGGCTCTTATTTTTATAAATTTGATTCTCTATTATGTTTGAGAAATGAGGCCATTATCAGAGAAACTTGCTTCAAAAATTTTTTTCATAGTTACTATTGCTAACTATATTTCCCTCTATCCTATTCCCCTACCCCCATTTATTCTACTCTCTCTCCTTTCTCAAAACTGTTTTGATTCTGTCTACCCCCTCCCCCAATCTGCCCTCCCTTCTATCACCACCACTCTCTTATCCCCTTCCCCTCCTACTTTCTGGGTAGGGTCACATAGATTTCTATATCCAACTGCATTTGTATGTTATTCCCTCTTTGAGCCAATTTGGATGAGAGTAAGATTCACTCACTTCCCCTCACTTCCCCGTTCCTCCTCTCCACTGTGAAAGCTTTTCCTTGCCTCTTTTATGTGAGATAATTTACTCCATTCTACCTTTCCCTTTCTCTTCTCCCCAGTACATTTCTCTCTCACCCTGTAATTTTATATTTTAGATACCATCCCTTCATATTCAACTCACACCTGTGCCCTCTGTCTATATATACTCCTTCTAACTACTTTAATAATGAAAAAGGTCTGATGAGTTACAAATATCATCTTTCCATGGAGGAATGTAAACAACTCAATCTTATTGAGTCACTTATGATTTCCCTTTCCTGTTTACCTTTTCATGCTTGTCTTGAGTCTTGTATTTGAAAGTCAAATTTTCTATTCAGCTCTGGTTTTTTCATCAAGAATGCTTGAAAGTCCTCTATCTCCTTGAATGTCCATTTTTTCCCCTGAGGGATCATACTCAGTTTTGCCAGGTAGGTGATTCTTGGTTTTAAACCTAGCTCCTTTGCCTTCTGGAATAATCCTTTAATGTAGAAGCTGATAAATCTTATGTTATCCTGACTATGACTCCACCATACTTGAATTGTTTCTTTCTGGCTGCTTGCAATATTTTCTCCTTGATCTGGGAACTCTGGAATTTGGCTATAATATTCCTAGGAGTTTTCCTTTTGGGGTCTCTTTCAGGAGGTGATTGGTGAATTCTTTCAATTTCTATTTTGCTCTCTGGTTCTAGAACGTCAGGGCAGTTTTCCTTGATAATTTCTTGAAAGATGAGGTCTAGGCTCTTTTTTTGACCATAGCTTGTCCAATAATTTTTAAATTATCTCTCCTACATCTATTTGCTGGGTCAGTTGTTTTTCCAATAAGATGTTTCACATTGTCTTCTATTTTTTCATTCTTTTGGTTTTCTTTTATTGTTTCTTGATTTCTCATAGGGGCGGAGCCAAGATGGCATAGTAAAAGCAGTGACTTGCTTGAGCTCTCCCCAAAGCCCGTCAAATACCTGTAAAAAATTACTCTAAACAAATTCTAGAACAGCAGAAGCCACAAAAAGACAGAGTGAAACAAATTTCCAGCCCAAGACAATATGGATGGTTGATAGGAAAGGTTTGTTTCGCCAGGCTGGGAGAGGAACGCGGTCCAACGTGGGTCGTGTTGGCAAAGACTGGCCCAGTGAACCTGGAGCAGGCCCCAGGAGACTGAATCACGGGCAGCTGTGGCAGTTTCCAGACTTCTCAACCCACAAACGCCAAAGAGAACTTAGAACGTCAGTAGGAAAAGTCTATGGGACCTGGTTGAGAGAGGAGTGCAGTTCAGTCACAGTCCTGGAGCAGCCCTGGGGTGGGGGCCATGGAGGTGGCTGCTCCCAGAGTTCTCAGCCCATAGACTATGGGGGAATCAAGCTGCTGATCAGAGGGGGATTGCAGAGATCTCTTTGCTGGTGCTGATGCAGGATTCCCTTGCTTTGCCCACGCATATATCTGGGCCACAGTCCTCGGTGGTGATCCTAGGGTAAGGAGGAGTGCTGGCAAGACAGAGCTTGTGGTGGCAGTGGAGAGGGAATCCTCCTCACAGTTCCAAGGCAGAAAAGAGTGCTTGTTGTCACTCATAGATGAGAACACAGGTCAGGAAAGGAGTAAACACCTTTCCTTTGATCATATCACCTTGGAAGAACTGAAAATTTACAGGTCCCTAGAAGTATCTCTGAAAACAGCTGCACAAAATCCCTGAAGCTTGGGACAGTACACCCTCCACATTGGAAGTAGAGCCTACCTTAACAAAGAATTTAAAAAGTCCAGTAATTGACTGGGAACATGAGCAGGCGGTGGAAAAACCCTCAAGACTACTGATTTCTCATAAAGTCATTAGGTTCCATTTGTCCTATTCTAATTTTTAAGCAATTATTTTCTTCAGTGAGCTTTTGGAACTCTTTTTCCATTTGGCCAATTCTGCTATTTTAGGCATTTTT